CGGGCTGGCGTTTGGTGGAGGAGGAGCTTTACCTCGCAGATGGAAAGTTCTGGAGACGGTGGCGGTTACACAACAACGTGAACGTACCTAATGCCACTGAACTGTGCCCTTAGAAATGGTTAAACCAGTAAACTTTGGTATGTGTATTTACTACAAAAAAGTCGGAGGCAGGCAGGAGTCCTGAATGAAGAATGACACGCCGCGGCAGCCACAGGACACGATACCCAGGGCCCTGCTCGGCCACCCAGCAGAATGGGACACCCAAGAGCAGCTGAGGTCCCGCGAGGACCCACGTCAGCACCAGGAACAGGCCCGGGCCAGACCAGACAGCATCGCTGCTACAGCACCACCGGCCGAGCCCCCAGAGCCCTTCAGTGGGACGTTCACTCCAGCCGCGTTCCCTGCGTTTGCTCATTCCTTCACTCACTCATCCAGAAATTCATTCACTCACTCACTCATCTAGACTCTCGGTTGCTGCACCGGCCATGGCTCTCGGCACTGGGGACGCAGCCGTGGTCAAGAGTTCCCTGTCCCATGGAGCCGGAAGTGGGCAAGATGGCCCAGGACAACTAACAAGTGATTTCTGTCGCTGCTCTGTGCCAGCAAGCGAGGCAGCTCGTGAAGCAGGGTGGTCAGAGCCGGGCCTCCGGTGACATGGCGAGCCCCGTGGGAGGGCTGGCTGAGCGGGCAGCTCCAGGCAGGAGACGTGGGTCAGGGAGGAGCTGGGCGAGTCAGGGCGAGGCCGCGGAGTGAGAGCTAGGACTGAGTGGCACGTGCTTGTTTCTCAAGGACAGACTGGGGGCGAGGACAGAAACGGGTCCCCGAGGTCGGCTCAAACCAGGGCAGGTGCTGCAGAGGTGCAGGCATGTCACGTGGGACGCATGGTCATCCTCACCTCTAGGTAGCTTCTCGGGCGGCTCGTCCTGCTCCTCCTCGTCACCCTCCGACACGTCCTCTGCCCCCATTTCATTCATTAAGTCTTCAATGGCAAACGGGGCCTGTTCCACGATCGTTTCAAAGATGCCACGAGTGATGTTGTGCAAAACCACGGAGCTGAAGGGACAGCAGGCACGGAGCAGGCTGTCAGGGGGGTCCAGGGGCAAAAGATGCCAACTGCTGCACCCACCGCCCGACAGCCCCTATGGTGGTCGGCTCATGGGGACGCAGGAAACAGTGGCTTTCCAAAGCAGTCCCTGAAAGCTCAGTGCAGAGGCCGGTGGAGGGCGCCTGGGCCACTTACTCCTTTGTCTGGGCGGCGATTCTGCAGAAGGGCTCGATGAACCTGAAGTTCTGGTCCGCCGTCAGCTGCGGAGAAGCAGGAGCTGCGTCAGTCCCAGGTCCCCAGACCCCAGGGAGCAGCCGGGCCGCCCCGCCCCTCACCTCGTCGGCGCCCACTTTGGCCAGCTCTTCCAGGAAGATTTCGATGAAGTGGCTCTTCACCCCGTTGGGGGCCTGGCTGTCGGGGTGCAGGATCTCCATGGTCAGCAGCGCCAGCAGCTGTTCCATGTGTCTGAGGACAGAAGCGGCAAGTACAGCAGCAGCCACGACGGGCGCCAGCACCACTCCGGTGTGAGCGGAGGCCTGGCACGCACGCCGCACGTGGTCCGTTCCAGCACAAAGGATTTAGGTGACTGTGCCAGCACCTGAACACACGGCACGACTGAGGCTCGGCTACAAAGCACAAGATGTGCAAACATCACGTCACACAGGCCTCCCCTTGTCCCCGAGATGAGTGGGGGAAGGCTTGGTGTGACAGGAGGCTGCCACTGTGTCCCGCGTCCCTCCCTGCTGTCCTCGCAGGTGCTGCTCAGGAAGGCAGGACAGAGCAAACGCCAAGACAAAAGACAGAGGCCACAGAGAAGGACAAGCTGGTTCCCAGGTCACCGCACTGAGTACACGGCCCGTGAAGGTCACGTCACGACAGACCTCTCCCCTCATGTTGGTTTCCAGGTCCCAGAGGCAGGGCTCCCAGACCAGGCGTCAGCCTGCAGGGGTCTAGATGCTGAACTCCTGGGCGCCTGATGACACACCTCTACCCGAGCGGTCACTGTGCGCTCTTTAAGAAGCTGCCTGGATGATATGGGTGCAGAGCTGCTGAGGGACTCACCGGTTCGGGAAGGAAAAGTGACGCTGTGTGCGGCTCGGGAGGAAGGAGCCAAGGCCAGCGCAGAGCCCGCCTCCCCCGTCCGGGGCTGGTGACAAGGCTGACAGACATTTACCAAAACCACAGGAGTTCCAGTGGCTGAGTCAGAACAGAGAAAAGCTACAAGAGGAGCCGCAGGAGCAGCTCTGGTCACCCCGGGGCAAAGGGAGGTCACCGATTTCTCCACAGCGACCTCTGTGCTGAATTGCTGGCGACAGTAAGGGTGGGACTTTCAAACCAACACGAAGTTCGCTGAAGTAAAACCGTCCCTTACACACAGGATTCTGCTTCAGTCACTAGCCACCTGCCAGGTAACCCACAGCCCAAGGGCCTGAAACAGGTGAGACACCCCCACCCCCACCTCAAGTCCTCATGGGGAGTGAAGGATGAAAACCACTCAAAAGCAGAGGCACTCCTGCCCTCACGTGACGCCACCCAAGGAATTCTAAACTTAGAAAAGTTGTTAACTTCGGTCCAACTCCTACTGATCTTTTTCATATGGGGAAAGTGGGCCCGGAGTAAGAACTAGCTAACTTTGCTGTCCAAATGGGGAGAAGTCTCAGCATGCCCTGGCCGTAGCTGTCCTCACACCTGGGGACTAGTTTTAGTGTCCACATACTTGACATAAACTCCTTTAACGTACACTTTGTAATTACAAGTCAATCCAAACAGCAGTGTTTCTAAGCCCCACCCCCTTGCTGCCCTCAGTGGCGCAGGCGCAGAGCACTGGCGCGGGGTGTCTGCAGGTACTGTCAGTGAAGCAAAAAACAGCCTGCAGATACCATGTCTCATCCAATGCCGCTTTTGTACCATGTGCGCAGATCAATGAAACATTTAAAAATTAGCTGTTGGAGGGCCGGCCGAGCGGCGCGATGGTTAAGAGCTGGCTTGGGACGCCAAAGGGCCCGGGTTCGGGTCCCACATATGAGGACCAGTGACACTGCCCTC